TTTATGTAGCTGTACAATTGTTGCTTCAAGATGTTGAATTTTATTTCTATAGTGGTCTTCCATGTCGAATACCTCCTCTTCAAAAACACTTGAACGACGTTTTATTTCTTCAAAATGTTTACTGTGGTGATTCAACTGTTGTTGTAAATCAGCATTTTCAGCAGTTAGTTGTGCAACTATTTCCAGTGTGTCGTTCATTTCTTCCCCTTTTTCCATACATAAAGTGGAGCAATATATTTTATGTCCCTCCAACAGTTTCCAGTTCTTTTTTCTAGACCAGCAGGATTTGTGCATTATTGAATTGCAAGACACGCAACAATATAAACGAATCTTTTGCTCCTTATTAGGACAACAGGGAAATATCACATTTTCACTGTCGCTTTCTGACATTACTCTTCTCGTTATTGCTTGCATTTTTAGGCAGCTGGTTTTAATTTTGTCAGTATAGAGACAAAATGCTTTAACACTGAATACGGTCCTGTCTAATATTTCCAAAATAAACAATATAAACAATAATACTCAAGGGGATTCCACATAAACACAATAAAACGTTTAGGAATTCCGCTGGTCACCAAAAAAGTAGTAAACAAACTCTTTAGCTGATAAGAATCCTTTGTGCTACAAGTAAACGATTAAACGATTTTCAGACAAAGTCTACACTAAATTTAAAACAAGTATTAATATTAACACTTTCACGCTTTTATTTTAATGTTTATGACGTTTAGTTTACCGCCACTGTATCACATACATTTTTACGAATACACCAATACCAAAGAAGGATTAAATTGATCCAAATATACTTGAAAACCATATTTTGACCCCTACCTACAGCTTTAGCTATATGAGGTAGAAAAAAACTTTAAATATGAAAGTATTAGGGTTTTATGTCTATTATCTTTTGAGAATGTCAAAACGGGCAAATGACAGGTGCCAACTGTCACAATGACAAACACTTGCATTTCTCAAATATATTCGGCTAGAATGATAGACTTTTTTCTTCTGATTCCAAATATACCATATATGTTGATATTTGGTCGAGTATTTGGTTCAGCTGTTTTTACGCTATTCAAGTTTAAAAATACATTTACATTACCCTTAATTTCAAATAAAAGAAAACTAATATCTTCACTCCAATATAATACAAAGAACTATACTGATTTTTGGTCTCTTTTTTTGGAATTATTAACAACTCATGTAAGTTTTTTGTCAACTACCACATTTCAAAACATTTTTGTCTCAATATTCGCCTTTATGCTGTGATAAAACTATTCATATTTCAAGATAGGGCCATGTGTTTTCTCACTTTTTTAACGAAATTACCTGATTTCAAGATAAGACCCTTGGCTAAAAACAAGTTTACACTAAATACAACATATCTATGAACTTAACTCATTTTGGCCCTATCTCGAGATAGGGCCTTATGTCATGAGACCGACGATTTAATCTGTCTGGGCTGGGGCTCTGTAATGAATAGAGATATTTTCTCTATCTCTATTGATTTTGACAGGAGAGAAGAAGACAGCAAGTGCCATAGCGATAGGGATAACGATCTCTATCCATTACAGAGTTCCAGCCCTGGTTTCTTATATCAATGATGAGGCTTGCTCAATGCAAATTTAAAATTGAATAGCGCAAAACCAACTGAACCAAATATCAACATATATAGTATATTTGGATTCAGAAGAAAAAAAGCTATCATTCTAGCCAAAAATATACAGTATATTCCATTTGAAAAATGCAAGTGTTTGTCATTGTGACAGTTGGCACCTGTCATTTGCCCGTTTTGACATTCGCAAAAGATAATAGTAGATTATACCACGAGTCAATAATGATAGCTATTATTCTCGAGGAATATTTACGAACTGAGCCGCGTTAGCGGCGAGGGAGTAACATTCCGAGGGAATAATAGCCATTATTGCGAGTAGTATACTCTACTTTATTTACGACAAATTAATTTATTTGAGATTTTCAATGAACAAATTTCATCCGTCTCATAATTTCCAATACAAATTCACAAGCACTACACGTTTGACACTGACACTTTTGTAGAATAATGACCATTAATCCCGCTATTCGTCATTAATCCCTGGAGGAATAACATATGTCATTATACTGCCAAAATCACAAATATAATACGCACATTATACATTAGTCGTAAATAAAAGACATAAAACCCTACAACTTTCATATTTAAAGTTTTTTTCCACCTGGTATAGCTAAAGCTGTAGGTAGGGGTCAAAATATAAGGAAACACCCTGTACATAGAAATATCTTTTAATACATGGAAATATCTCAGTTAGTACTGTTAATCAATCGGTGAAGACATTTTGTTAGGTGAAAAACCCCTCGATCTATACAAAAATTTTAATCCATTTTAACAACACTTGTCTAATCAGTGCTTGTGAACACTGGCCCTGAGACTAACAAAACAAAATTAACATTAATATACACTGCAATGTTGCTTATAATCAATCAATATTTCTATTTATTTATTTATTGATACTCATTCAAACACCTCAATGGTAATTACAAGTAAGAGAAATGATACCTACTTACAAATCTTACACTACACCAATGAAAACAATATACAAGATGGCACTGCTAGGTACTACTCAACCCAGGTATTTATAAAATATTTTACATAGGGTTTGTAGTCCCTTTATTGAGACAAGATTCAGTGAAAATTACAGCTTCCTATCTATAATAGAAAAAAAGTTGTGCCCTTCCAAAGTTTTCCAAAATCAAAATCATAAGGTTCTTACTGAAACAATGAAATTTCAAATTTTTTTTTTGTTGAGATTTTGTATCCTAATGGTCAATTAACATCCCCTAAGCTCCATACACTAAATTATTCTCAGATTTGAAGCCGAAATCTATGAAAAAAGGCACTCAGAAAAATTGAAAAATTGATAAATCACCCCAAATTGCTTAACACGATTTTATCTCAGGAACTATAAGTGCAAATGAGCCGAAATTTTCAGGGATTGTAGTCCCTTTATTGGGATAAGATTCAGTGAAAATTTCAGCTTTCTATCTGTAATAGAAAAAAAGTTATGCCCTTCCAAAGTTTTCCAAAATCTAAATCATGATAACCTTACTGAAACTATCAAATTTCAAATTTTTTGTTGTTGAAATTTTGTATCCTAATGGTCAATTAACATCCCCCAAACTTCATACACTAAATTATTCTCAGATTTGAAGCCGAAATCTATGAAAAAAGGCACTCAGAAAAATTGAAAAATTGATAAATCACCCCAAATTGCTTAACACGATTTTATCTCAGGAACTATAGGTGCAAATGAGCTGAAATTTGCAGGGATTGTAGTCCCTTTATTGAGATAAGATTCAGTGAAAATTTCAGCTTTCTATCTATAACAGAAATAAAGTTATGCTCATGAAAAGGTTTTGGAATTGCCGTTGAAGGATCAGTTGCTTCATTATTTACATGCAGGTCATATTTTGGCAAAGCAACAATCAGGATACAGACAAAAACATAAATGCGAAACGGCTTTTCAGTTTTTTGATATCAGGTTGGAAATCTCAAATACAGAAGAAAAAAGTCATGGGTGTAGTATTTTTGGATCTCAGTAGAGCTTTTGAGACAGTTAACATTGATCTTTTGTTAATAAAACTGGCAAAGTATGGTATTCGGGGCAAAGTACTAAAATGGTTCAAAGGATATTTACTTAACTAAAAGATTTCAGAAGGTTAAATTTAAAAATGCCAATTCAATTCTAATAACATAGGGTTAGATCAAGGGATTTCTTAGGGTTTTTTAGTGTTGGGACCTATTTTTGTTCCATCATTGATGATATAGTTCTTCATGTCAAACACTGTCAAATAAAATTATTCACAGATAACACTTTGCTATATTTTGTCTGTGATATTGATGAATTACAGTAATGAGAAAACTTTTAAACGAAGATCTTGAAAATATTAATGTGTGGCTTACAGAAAATGGCTTAATACTAAATGTTGCAAAGACAAAACTCATGATTCTTGGTTCTACACACTGCCTCAATAAACTTCAAAGACAAGGTAGTAATGCAGTAGTAATAGTATATTATATAATAAGTGTGGTAACTAGGTTATTACCGCACGCGAGAGAAATTTGCAAACCGAGCCGGTGAGGTGAGGTTTGCAATCTCTAAGGGCGGTAATAACCTAATTACCATACATATTATATACAGTATTTTATCTACAAGCGTGCGGTAACAAAATATCAGAAAAAAGTTAAAAAAATTATAGAAAATAAAATTGCGTCCGTCACCTTTGGCAGTGAACCAGTAGAATTCAGGTGTAGGTAATTTATCTCTGGTAGGTAATTGAAGGTATGTACCTATGTAGGTAGAGAGTGCGGTAATAATATTACCGCACGCCGTGCGGTAATAGGGTACTTACCGCACGCAAAATCATGTAATATACCTTAGTTACCGCACGCTTGTAGATAAAAATAATTATAAATAACGGTATCTTAGAAAACGCTAAATTTTCAAGTATTTGTGTGTAATGTTGGATCCTGAACTTAATCTATACTTGCACTGAGATCACATGAGGAAAAAAATAGCAAAAAAGCAGGTTTTATGCACAGTAACAAGATCTCACTTTTCGCTAAGCCCACAATTTATGAGTTAATAATTGCTCCTCATTTCGAATATATCATTACCTTAATTTGACTCACTCAAAGAGACTGCAAAATCGTTGCATAAGAACAATACTACTGCTATGCAAAATCTATGCTGGCTGGAGAAATTTAAACCTTATGAATGCACAACAAAGATCTACTTACATAATGCTAACTTTTGTCTTGAAATTAAAACATAATATGTTAACATCATATTTATCTGATGAAGTTACTTATGTGCGAGATGTTTATACATACCAAACGAGATCCATTGTAGTAAATAATTTTCACATTAATGATTTTCAGAGTGAGGCTCAAGAATGTCTAACAGTATACCCTTGAATATCCAATAATTGCAATGTTTGTATTCTTCCAGATTTATCTCCATACTTTCCACGCAATTTCAATCCAGTCAAAAGACTGTCCCGTTCAATGCAAAGGTCACCTATGAAACCTGTTAAAGTTCAAGAAACGGTGGTACTGGACGATGACGACGACGACGATGTCATAGAAATAACTAAACCGGCAAGGAACGGAAAAAAATTCACTTCAACGCCCCTTGAAAGACGTAAAAGTTACGCAAATGTTAAAAAAGACCACGAAAATAGCGATGACATTGTTTTCATCAAAACCTTCAAATCACCAAAAGAAAAACAGAAAGAAGCTAAATTGGCCGGCTATGATTACTTTAAACCGAGAACTTCATTGGACAAGCCTCTATTCACTATAGGTAAGTAGTTTTTAGTTAACCAATTTAAAAATTACATTAATATTATTAAGGCTCCACTCACAACGGAACAAAACCCAAAGCCAAACCAACAAAATACAAAACACTGCCACTCAAATCTAGAGGAGCTTCCACTTCAAACTACTCCTTCAGGCTAGACGACAAGCTCAAATACAAACAACTCTTGGACTGTGTCAGTGGCAACGACTCCTCGATTTATGGCACGCCTATTGGTAAAATATCTTCATATGATTTTGCCAACAAACCAAAAGAATCTACAAAAGATAGGATTAATAGGGTGCTGGACAATTGGGACAGCGATTCGTTGGTTATAAAGGATTCAGATTCGGAGGGCAGCGTTGTTATGGTCAAGCCTCCATCTCCCAAGCCGGATATCAAAGTGGATCCTGTCAATAGTTTTAAGCATTATGTTGATTCGTCTAATGCTACCAAAAAGGATTGGTTGACTGAAGTGTAAGTAGAATTTTATCTATTTTATTAATGGGAAAAAACATAACAATATCAACAACTTCTTTCCATTGTCATTTTTTCTGTTTCAATTTTCATTTTTTATTATGAAGAAAACTTATTGCACCTTGACGCACAGTGATAAATAAGATGTTCTAACCTACTAGTCCAGGAGGTGGCGCCAAAAACATGCAAGAGTTTTCGCAAGGCGGATATTTTCAAAATAGGTCGTACTTTAGTGCTAGAATGCTAGTGTACAGTCAGCACTCACAGTTCCGGGACAGCTGGCTCTGGGACGCGAGCAAAGTTGTAATTTTAAGAAGCATCTAAACTGTTTTCTCAAAGCTCAAAATTTATAGAAATTTTGCACATTATCAGTTTGAAAGTCATAGATAACGTATGTAAATCGTCAGACGTCTAGTTCATTGCAAAAAGGGGGTCAGACGTCCTCAAAGTTTTTATTTTATGGCATTTTCTTCGGTGTCCTGTCAGAATATATTTTTGCAGGTATTTGACAAATATATTTGAAGAAAATGCCATAAAATAAAAACGTTGAGGACGTCTGACCCCCTTTTAGTAACGAACTAGACGTTTGACGATTTACATACGTTATCTGTGACCTTCAAACAGATAATGTGCAAAATTTCTATACATTTTGAGCTTTGAGAAAACAGTTTAGATGCTTCTTAAAATTACAACTTTGCCCGCGTCCCAGAGCCAGCTGTCCCGGAACTGTGAGTGCTGACTGTACACTAGCATTCTAGCACTAAAGTACGACCTATTTTGAAAATATCCGCCTTGCGAAAACTCTTGCATGTTTTTGACGCCAGCTCCCCAACTATACATGTATGCCATAATAGACATCTGATAACAATAAAAATATTTCTCTGGCTTTTTTCCTAAGAAAATTAAGGGAGAAAAAAATGTAGTATTGCCACTTTTTTTCAGGTAAAATAACCATCAATCATTTTGACAATATATTTATTTAATTCTTTTACAATTTCAATGGGCAATATAATCACATATTTCCTGAATACATTTTACAATTCACTACTATTTAGGTAACCAAAAACCATCGAAAATCGACATCCTAATTTCGAAATTTCAGAGTCGAAAATCACAAACAGTATGTCAAAGACCGTCAAAAAGAAATCGACAATCTACGCGTTTGCACCGAGGCCACCTCGAAAATCAACAAGGATATAAATATCGAGCTACTCAGACGGAAAGTCGATAATTGTCTGCAAATAAAAGATGTCGTTCTACCGGAAACTGTTCTGCCGGAAGAAGACGAGCTACCGGAACTCACCGATGAACATTTATCCATGGTTTCTAGAGCCCATAGAGGCGATCCCAATGAAGTTTTGGTCAACAAATTCAACTTACGTGTAACCAGAAGAGATCTGATGACTTTGGCCGGTTTGAATTGGCTCAATGACGAAGTCATTAACTTTTACATGAATTTAATTATGGAACGAGGAGAGAATTCTAAATGGCCAAAAAGTTACGCTTTCAATACGTTTTTCTATCCAAAACTATTAAAAGACGGCGCCCAATCTTTAAGAAGATGGACAAGAAGAGTTGATCTATTCTCCTATGATCTTATTTGTGTTCCTGTCCATTTAGGAATGCACTGGTGCATGGCCATGATTGATTTCAGGAATAAATCTATTAAGTAATAATTGTTTCTATTGATAATTCAACTATACTTACTTGAATAATTATTTTAGATACTACGACAGTATGGGCAGTCCGAATAGTCGTTGCTTGGACGCCCTAAGACACTATTTAGAAGCAGAGCATTTGGACAAAAAAGGTTCAAAGTACAACACGCGTGATTTTAAGCTGGAAAATCGAAACGATATTCCACAACAAATGAACGGTAGCGATTGCGGCATGTTCGCTTGTACGTTTGCCGAATTTCTTACCAGAGATGCACAAATTAGTTTCAAGCAAGAAGACATGCCGTATATGAGGAAGAAGATGGTTGTCGAAATTATGACTGGACAACTTTTGATTCAGTAAAGACTTATTATAGGAAGTAAGTTTATGTGTGGTAATTTTTTTGATACTGTCTGTGCAAAGAAGATTCTAGTTTGGAACAACACCAATAGTAATTATTATTACTGCACTAGTACTTTTTTTGAATTTGTTGTTTTGTAAATAACAAGCATAATTTATTGTCGAAATAATCCTGACGGACAATAGGTTTATTTTCTATGATTTATTTATTACTTGAGTTATTTTTCAGTAACAATAAAATAAAGTGATCGTTTTTCCATAAGTTGTGTTAAATGAAGATTTGATTTTTTATGTCAAGATTTGAATAAATATTTCTCTTTTTTTAGCTTAAAATATTGTTTTTTTGACATGCACAATTCCTAAGTATTTGTTGAATCCTAAGAAAATATCATATTTTGCTAGAAATCATGGCAAACTTTCTTGGATTATTTCTGATTCAGTGTAAATTGTGTTTATTTGTGCCAGTTACGTACAGGGGTATGATTTCTCTCGAAGTTTACTTCTATTTAAGGTGGGTTCGGCTTGCTCACTCCGTGCACTCCGAGTGACTCCATTCCGAGCTCCATTCGCACTCCAGCCGTTCAGGTTAAGGTTCGGGTATTGCTTTTTACCGTATTAGGGGTGACTCCATTAGCTCTATTCACTCCACTCCAACTCCGCGCTGAATAGCCGAACCCAGCTTATATTTCCCTATGGTCTGGGTGCAGTCAGGTGTTTCACTTTTTATGTTCACAACTGTACGTGCCATACGCACTGCGCGGTGATCCGCACTCTTCTAGCAAACAGGATTCAACCAAAGGGTACAACATACATACATCGTTCATGAGCTTCTTCTTCATTAAAATCTTCAAAAATTCCACATTGAAAAAATCGTTTTAAAAAGAAGAAATTTATTTTTAAAAAATATATGTATATATTTTGAAGTATAAACTGACACAAAAAGCTTAAAAAAATAGAATACCTACTTGAGTAAAAAATAAAAAAAAAATAATATAGGGCTTCTAGAATCCCTTTGGATAACAAAAGAGTATTATTTATCACTAGAAAAAAATTTCATTCATCATCACTACTCTCTGACAACCCAGCATCAGCTTTCGGCAATCTCCTATTCCTACCCCTTTTCGGTACAAATCCAGGCCCTTGTTTACCCTTCCTATAAACTTCTATTGCTTTCAATTTATTCCTCAAAACTGTACTTTTGTCTTTTTCCTTTTGCGGTATCACTTCTTTTTTGGGAACCCTTGTAGGACGAGAGTTACTTGTTGATGGTTCGGAAACCTAAAAATAATATACACAATAATTTTGGCCCTTTAAAATACGGCTTAAGTCTTACCTGTATTGTTTTGAGTTTTTCCATTAGGTTTTTGTTAATTTCTTCAACTTTTTGGCTGGATTGTTGTACAATTTTAGGCAACAATTTTACTTCTTTGTCTGATTGTAATTCATCTGGAATAGTTTCAATTAGTTTTTTCTCTTTGGGCTTTTTCACTTTTGTTTCATTAATTTTTCTTCTTTGTCTTATTTTATTGATTTTTTCTGTAACATCATCAACAGGATTTTGATTATTTAATTCTTCATTGGCCAACTTTGTCTTTTTGGATTTCTTTGTTTCAGCTGTTTTGATTTTCCTTTTTTGTTTACCACTTTCTTTATTGGTTTCAATTTTTTTATTAACTGTTTCAGATTCATCTGATGTCGATTTCAATTTTTCCAAATTCACTTTTGATTCTCTACTAGTTTTGTCCTTTTTAGTAGGGTTTTTACTAAAGCCTGGAGCCTCAGTGTTTTTCTTTTTTCTCACCTGTCTTTTTTTAGGTTGTTTCAATTCCCCCTCAATTTCTTCTGCTAAAATTTCACTTGGATCCCGTCCCATATTATTGACAGCAGTTTTTACTCTTTTACTCATCTTATCATCGACATTAGTTGAATGCACCTTGAATCTAGTTTTAAAATAATCCTTTATCGTTTTCTGATGTTTGCCTTCTTCAAGCTTCTTCAAAACAGGATTAATAATTTCTTCGGTTTTACTTCTAGTCCAACCGAATTTTTCTCTGGCATATTCCAGCAGAGCTCCAAAGTTGGGCCTGCCCCAAGAAAACGCCTCTTTGCTCGTTTCCACTGACGGATCCAAATAGGCTTGAACTACTTGTAAACTGGGAAAGTTTTCAGTGAAAATCAAGTTGGTTAGCTTGCTTTTCAGGGAGGAACGTCCAGGGCCTGGAGATTTTCCTTTGGTGAACCAGGAACGGAATTCTTTTAGACCTGAAAGATTTTTTTGATAATGGGTGGTATAAATAAAAACGAAGTACCTACTAGTACTACTACTACTACAAATATTAGTGGGTGGTATGAATAAAAACGAAGTACCTTATTGACCTTTAAATAGCCTGTAATTTACAATATTTTCAGAGTGATAGTTTTTCAGCAAATTGAGTTTTTGAAAAATTTTGGACTAGAAGTCAACTTTCAGTTTTAATTGCTCAAAAACTATTCGAGCTATCAAACTCAATTTTGCACGGATTTATAGAGAATTTAATGCTCTTTCCAATGATATATAGTTTATTTAAATTTGCTTGTAATTTAACAAAGATATGGACAACTGCTCATGACCATGTCAAGATTTTGAAAATTTTCCAGGGCCAAAAATAAGATTTCCTTTTTATTTATTTTTTTTGCTAAAAATGGCTATTTGGAAATAATGCCTAGGTTGTTTTCCACTAATTTTAACCCGCTTTATCGATTAGTAAAGTTAAAATTGAGCAAAACTGGTAAATAAAAAAATCGAATTTTTCATAAGGGTACACCCTTTAAATTTTAATTTCAAAATATTCAAACCTCAATTGCTCGGTAATTGTTGAGCAAATTGCATTGAAATTTTCAGCATGTGTAGCTTTTATTTAGCTCAAAATGGCCTGTTATTTACAATATTTCCAGATTTAAATTTTTTGAGCAAATTGAGTACAAAACTAGAGAATTCAATGCTCTTTCCAATGATATATAATTTATTTCAATTTGCTCGAAATTTAACAAAGATATGGGCAATTTAGGTAGAATTCCATTTAAATTATGAGAAATGTTAAAAAAATTATGCGAACTTGTAATTATATTGGAATTATGTGAAATTTGATAGAAATTATCCAAAAATATATTGTAATTTCTTTTGGAATTTCCAGGTATGACGTGGAATTCCATTTAATTTCAAAAAATCATCTGAGAAATGACAAATTTTAGAAAAATTACATAGAAATTATGCGGAATTCCCTGGGTTGGCAAATATCATGATATTTATATAAATATCCAATTATCCGATATATATCGATATATATCAGATATATATCAAAATTTGGATATTTATTTATATTTTTAATTACTTCAATTAGTTCATCTGTTTTCTGTTACCTATCTATAGGTAATAATATTAAAATTCAAAATATTATAGTGAATTTAAAAAAATGTTACAAACATGGGAAGTTGGTATGGTGATAACAAGTTTTAGTACTCCTATCCTATCTCCTAAATATATGTGTAGGAATGTAAAGTGTAGTAGGTTAATAAAAATTTGAATTTAAGAATATGAAAACAAGTATGTCATCATTTATACTTGTTTGCCTTAAGCCGTTGTTTAATAACAACAAAAAAATGACAATTCTAAGCTCAACGACAAAAAGAAAACTACAACTTAGGGCGGGTATTACAAAACTATTCCGTCCGACAGAATAACTAGAAGTTAACTTCTGGAATGACGGTACTTCTCATAGTAATTCCAGAGGTTAACATTTAGCTATCTGTCAAAATAGATTCATAATACCCGCCCTAAAAATGTTGATATTTCTTATACAAATATAAATAATAATTGATAATTGACGTAATATAGAGTGTTTTGGCCAAGATCTCTATGATTTTTTTTTCATAAATATACTACTACGGTCGTTAAATTTCTTAACATAACATAATAAAACTATAAAATAAGAAAAGAAGGCGATACAAATAATATTGATATTTATCATGATATTTATAGCATAAATATCATGATATTTATCAAGATATATATCAGGATATTTATCGCTGATATATATCCTGCCAACCCTGGAAATTCCATAGAAATTATGCGGAATTCCCTAAGATTTATGTGGAATTTCATTGAAATTACATAGAATTTCAAATAGGTATGCTAAATTCTATCAAAATTATGCGGAATTCGAGTGAAATTGAAGAAGTAATGATGTAAAATTCCAAAGAAAAAATAATTAAGTTTAGAAAAATGACATGGAATTCTAGGAATTTTGCAAAATTATGCGAAATTACAGTAAAATTAAATGGAATTAAATGAAATTCCGTAAGAAATATGCAAAATTTTATTGAAATTATGCTAAATTCTATAGAAAAAAACGTTTAATTTTTAAAAAAATTACATAGATGCAAAATTCTATAAAAATTATGCGAAAATCCAGTGAAATTGAATGGAAGTATAAGAAAATGGCGTAGAATTCCAAAAAAATCGTTGAGTTTCAATTAAATTACATAAAAACCCATAGAAATTATGTGGAATTTCATATAAATTATGCAAAATTCCATAAAAGTTATGCGAAATCCCGTAGAAATTATGCGAAATCCCGTAGAAACTAACAGAAATTCTATTGAAATTATGCTGAATACCATGAAAATGATGCCTAATTTTATACAAAGTATGCAAAATTTCATTGAAAATATGCCAAATCCCATTAAAATTATGCGAAATTTTAGTGAAATTAAATGGAAAACGACATGGAATTCTAAAAAAAGCATTGAGTTTCAAAAAAATCAAAATCCCATAAAAATTATGTTGATTTAAATTGTATGGAATTCCATAAAAATTATGCGAAATTTCATAGAAACTATGCTAAAGTCCAAAGAATTTCTGCGGAATTCTATAGAAAATATTCAATATTCTATAAAAACTATGCAAACTTCTACTGAAATTATGCGGAATTACGTGGAAATTATGCGGAATTTTATAAAAATTGTGTGCAATTAAATAAAATTCCAGTAAAATTTAATAAAATTCCAGGAATATGACAAAAATATGTGGAATTATGAAATTCGATTAATTTTCCTGGAATTCCAAGTAATTTCTCCAAAATTTTAAATTATTCTCGTGAAATTCAAAAAAAAAAAAAATGATATTATTTAAAATTCCTGTGAATTTCCGAGGAATTCCTGTGAAATTTCTTGCAATTACAGAAAATTTCTTTGAAATTACATGGATTTTTGGTAAAATTCCAGAGAATTTTTATGGAATTACGAGGAATTCAAATTTTGCTGAAGTCAAATAATTTCAGGAGAAATTCAAGTAATTTTATTTCAGTAAAATTACCTATGAAATTTCAGAAGAATTTTTTGGAATTTCGAGTTATTTTACAGGATTTTTTCGAAATTTCAAGCACATTATTCCATGGAAATTTTATGGAATTTCTAGTTATTCCGTAGAGGGTTTTTTTTTCAATTCCACATTTTTTTTTTAAATTCTACTAAAATTCCGATTTACTCCACAGGAATATTGCTAAAGTATTAAGTAATTTCACAAGAACTTTTCGGAATTTCAGGAGAATTTCATATTATTTTAGAATTTCATTTAAATTTTGAGTTATTCCACGGGAATACCATGTAATTTCACGAAGAATTCTTAGGAATTCAATAAAAAATTTAAAAAATTTCACAAGAATTTTATGTAATTTACGGAATTTTTTGCAATTTTTCTTCCTTTTCAATTTAACGAGAATTCCAAGTGATACCATAGAAATTCTTTAAAATCCCACTGAAATTACAAGTAACCTCAAGGAATTTTTTTTTGGAATTTTACAAGGATTCCATGAAATTCTACAAGATTTTTTTTTAAAACATAGCCAAAATTCCACATAGGTTTTCGTAAATATTTTGGAATTTCATGGGAATTTTCTGGAATTTCACGAGAATAACTTAAAATTCCGGAGGCATTGAGTCGAATATTCGAAAAATTTCGTCGTAATTCTTTCGCAGTATCACATAATTTTACCGAAATCTCACGTAATTCCGCTATAATTCTAAATAATTTCAGAGAATTTTTTAAAGAAAATTTAATGTAATTTTTACGGGAATTTTTTGAAATTTTACGAAATTAACTTGGAATTCCGGGAGAATTACGTTAAATTTTAATTGAAAAAAAAAACCCTTCCTACGGAATAACTAGAAATTCCATAAGATTTCTATAAAATATTGTATTTAAAATATCATTTAAATTCCGAAAAAATCCTGTAAAATTACATGAAATTCCAATTTTTTTTTCTGAAATTTCTTAAGTTATTTTACTGAAATAAAATTACTTAAATTTCTCTTGAAATTATTTGCAATTCTAGCAAAATTTGAAGAAATCCCTGTGAAATAAATCGTGAAATTCCAAAAAATTCACAACAAACTACTTAAAAAATCGTATAAATAATAATTATGAAATTCCAGAAAAAAAATCGTGAAATTATGTTTTAAATTTCAGCAAAATTCCATTATGAAATAACTCAGAATTTCAGTGGAATCCCAAAAAAATTTACGTGAAATGACCTGAAATAAGTACTTCATGAACTATCAAAAAGTAATTTGTGAAATTACATGGAATGCCTAAAAATTCCTGTGAAAATACGGAAGGTTTCTTTGAAACTAATTGAATTATCAGTGGAATTCCGAAGAATTTTTAAGTAATTCTGGTGAGCAATCTATGAATCTAATAAGAATTTCAGTGGAATTATGAAAAATTCTTGTAAAATTACACAAAATTCTCATGAAATATCAGAAAATTCCTATGAACATTCCTGAAACATTCCCCGAATATTCTTCAAAAATTTTCCAAAAAAAAAAACCTGTTGAAACATTCTATAAACATTCTTGGAACATTTTATAAACATTTCTAAAATATGCATTGCAAATTTTTCAAAAAAAAAACATGTTGAAACATTTCTGGAATATTTTATAAACATTCCTATAATAGATGAATTATTTCAAAAATATATTGAATTTTTTTTGTCTTGATGGGATATTCTACAAACATTTTATAAACATTCCCCTTTGAAATCTAATTTCAAAATATTCTAACCTCAATTGCCCAGTAACCGTTGAGCAAATTGTATTGAAATTTTCAGCATTTGTAGCTCTTATTAGGCTCTCTAAATGGCCTGTAATTTACAATATTCCCAGATTTATAGTTTTTGAGCAAATTCAGTTTGAAGTTCTCGTAAATTAACAAAATCAAGTTTTTCATACCCTTTGAATTTTGATTCCCAAATAGGTACTTAAACCTCAATTGCTTGATAACTGTTGAGAAAATTGCATTGAAATTTCCAGCATTCGTAGCTCTTATTAGGCTCTAAATGGCCTGTAATTTACAATATTCCCAGATTTATAGTTTATGAGCAAATTCAGTTTGAACTTTTTGACGAAATTTGGACTACAAATCAACTTTGAGGGTTAATTGCTCAAAAACTATTCAAGCTTTTAAACTCAATTTTGCACGGATTTATAGAGAATTTAATGCTCTTTCTAATGATATATATTTTATTTCAATTTGCTCAAAATTTAACAAAGATATGGGCAATTGCTCATGACCATGCCTAGATTTTGAACATTTTCCAGAGCCAAAAATAAGATTTCCTTTTTAATTTTGTTTCTGCTAAAAATGGCAATTCAGAAATGATGTCAGGGTTGCTTTGCAATTTCCAACTAATTTTGACCCGCTCTATCGATTGGTGAAGTCAAAATTGAGCAAAACTGTAAATTAAGAAAATCGAGTTTTTCATACTAAAAGTCAACTTTGAGGCTTGAATGCTCAAAAACTATTTGAGCTATCAAACTCAAATTTGCACATATTCATAGAGAATTTAATGTTCTTTCCAATGGTATATAATTTAATTTAATTTGCTTGAAATTTAACAAAGATATGGGTTTGATGGGTTTATTTTCGATAAAACTCAATGGATATGATTTATTTTGAAGTGAAAACTTCTTTGCGGCGATCTGATAATTGGAAGAGAATGAAGAGTGATCTGAAATACGCGTCACGTTTTGGGAAATTTCGTTAGCAGCAAAATAGGCTGTGACAATAATAAAGAATTTGTTTCAGCTTGTTTCTTACCAGACAATAAATCTGAATGCATCAAATTGAACTCCCGCACTTCTTTGCCTGATGGAAAAGCTGCCAAAATTTCCATAGCGGTGACAGGCCCCACTCCTTGCAACCCCACAGTATAATCGCTACCAACCAACAAAGCCAACAAAATCATTTGCTCCCTTGTCAACTTGAAATGATGCTGAATGTTCTCGGATCGGAATTCCATAACGTATTTGCTTTGATTGAAGAAATTCTTGTACACTGTTTTGCCTCCAAATAACCAGATATCGCTGTCGTCTGTTATGGTACCGTCAGTAAGTTCTATGGCGTCTAAAAAGGCACATTGAGCTTCAGCTTCCATTGGGGCAATAATGTATGGGACCCCAAAAAGTTCCAATAGTTCTTGGGCTTCTTGATACATTTGGTCAGTGATGTTGTTTGCTAAACGTTCTTTTGTGGATTTTTCGTTGATGAGCTCGACTTTTTCTTGCTGGAGTTGGTCTTTGAGGTCTTTTAGTTGCTTCTCGGATAGAGATGGAGTGATGATTTCTTCATAAATTTTGTCTTCTTTTGTTGTAGTATTTTCAGCTTCAGTTTTATTACTGGCAAGAGTTTCTTCAACAAAAACTTCATCTTTTTTTTGGAAATCGGCCACAATTTCCAACTTTGCTTCGTCAGGTTCTGGAGCAAAAACATCTGCAAATAAATCGTCTTCAATTTCAGCATTTGGATTAATTACAATATTTATAACTTTTTTCTCAGATTCAGAATCACTGGAATCGGTGCCTGACATTATTTCCACTAAATCATCACTAGTTTCAACTATATTTGTGGTTTTTTCATCATTAGTCTTTTTTTCTGATTCATTATCAACTGAATCAACAATTATTTCTTTAATATTTATAGTGTTTGTTGCAGACTCAGTATCACTGGATTCAGTGCCTGACATTATTTCGACTAAATCATCACTAGTTTCAACTACATTTTTAGTTTCTTCATGAGATTCATTAATATCACTAGTTTTTCTTTCTGATTCATTATCAACTGAATCAACAATTATTTCTTTAATATTTGAAGTCTTTTTTTCTGATTCAATATCAGTATCATTGTCTGATATAACTTCAACTGACTCTTTGATTTTTTCACTAGATTTTTTCAGCTTTGCCTTCTTCAATTCGCTATTTGCATTCAATATTTTAGCAATTTCACTTGGAGTAAGCCCACTATATTCAAGCATATAACTTTCAGCCGAAGACAGCTTCTTGTTCCTAACAATTTCCTCGTCTTCGCTGGAGCTTGAAGCAAAGTCAGCATTAGGGAAATTATCCAAAAACGAAAATTCTTCTAGATTTGTTTTCAAATTTTGGCTATTTGAAGTCGATGGTTCGCATTCCAAAGATAACGCTATAGCTCTTTGTAGATCATCTTCATATTCTTTGTCAGCTATTGTTGGTTGCCTCACTTCTTTATCAACAATTTCAATAACTTCTTGATCATCTTCAACAATAATTGCATTTTCTTTTTGCCTAGCTTCTTCAATAGCCTTCTTAAGGTCCTTAACTAAAAGATATCTGCAATAAAAACAAACAATAATTCAATGTGTGAGGTTCAAGTTTTTCTATTTTACTTTGTAGTATCATCTGAAGCAATCCTTTTGGCAACTTCAGGATTATTATGAATAACACCTTGATCTTTGAGTATCGACTCTAGTTCAGCAAGACTCAAAGATTTACCGCCCATTTCTTTTTCAGCTTCCTCCAAAGCTGCTTGCACTGCTTGTCTTTTCAATAATCGCTTCATTTGATAAAATGAAAAATCATCACTGACAGCTGGTAATTCGTGTAGTCTGCCCCAAGAGTTTTGCTTCCTGGTTTCTTTTAAATCTGTTAAAATTTCATGTCTAACATCTACTGGTAAGGATTTGAAGTTTTTGCTTTTCATATCGATTGTGTGTAGGTCCCAGTTTTTAGTTGGACTAGAATCGGTTTCAGTACTTAATGATTCATCTTCTGAGCTGGAAAAAGTACTGTCCAATTGGGAACTAGATGGTAAAACGTACATGTCTTCTTTTTGAGGTTTTGTTGCTTTAGGTAATGTGGCAATTGAGGCTTCAATTTTCTCTGTCAGCACTTTACTGACAGCAGAGTGTTTGAGAAGAGTGCTGAGCAGTTGCTTTTGGATTTTGTCCGCTTCAGATTGGTTTCTGAGTTTGGATTGGTTTCTTTTTGCCTAAGCAAAATCATCAAAAATTATTGATCAGGGGGGAAACAACCGGGAAATTGAAGAATTTATAAACTTTAGAATGGGTAACAAGTAATTGCAGGAAATTTGCTAGCAATTTGGAGGAGTTTTTGGGAACTTTGGAGGAATTTGCGGAAAGTTTGAAGAATTGTTTGCAAAATTTCAGCTTTTTATCTAAAATAGAAAAAAAAGTTATGATCTTTCAAAGTTTTCCAAAATCTAAATCATAAGGTACCTTCTTACTAAAACGATGAAATTTCAAATTTCTTTTGTTGAGATTTTGTATCCTAATGGTCAATTAACATCCCCTAAACTCCATACACTAAATTATTCTCAGATTTGAAGCCGAAATCTATGAAAAAAGGCACTCAGAATAAGTGAAAAATTGATAAATCACCCCAAATTGCTTAACACGATTTTATCTCAGGAACTATAAGTGCAAATGAGCTGAAATTTTCAGGGATCGTAGTCCCTTTATTGAGATAAGATTCAGTGAAAATTTCAGCTTTCTATCTATAACAGAAAAAAGTTTCAGCTTTCTATCTATAATAGAAAAAAAGTTATGACCTTTCAAAGTTTTCCAAAATCTAAAAAAAAAAATGTCCCGCATAGTGTGCGCAAAGTAGTTACTCTGCGCACACTTTTGGGAAAGGGTTTCTTTGCGTACGCAAAAGTGTGCGCAAAGTAGTTATTTTGCGAACACTCGTAGAAAAAATACATTTCTTATCACAAACAATTTTGGGGATTTCTATGGAATTTGTAATAGGCATTTACGGAGAGTTCGCGAGTAGTTTGGAGGAATTTGCAGGGAATTTGAAGGAATTTGTGGGCAATTTGGAGGAATTGGCGGATAGTTTGAGGAATTGTTGGTATTAATTAATACAAATTAAAATATGACTTACAATTGTTTGCTTTTTCAATGCAGGTACCCCTCCATCGAATACGATTACAGGTTTTATTTTGAAATATAAAAGTTTGCACAGCCGGTGATAGATTCCTAGCAAGTGAGCGTTCGGTACCGAGGCACCTTTTGAGTCTTGGAACCCTTTGACGGCTTGATGGAGCCATATCGAGATATCTGAGAGTTTTGTTAAGGATTTAGTAGTAGTAAATATGCTTTATTATTATCCAAGAATACAAAAATCTTATTAACAAAGCTATTGGATTGTTATGGGAAAATAAATTATTTGTAAAGGATACCAACAGCAAGGACTTTATTTTCCAAAGTTTCCAATGGGACTGGTTTTCCTGAAGGCTCTATTAAACGCCAGAGTCCGTGAACACCCATAGTGTTTCACAGTATTAGGAGCTATAGCTCTGAAATAACAAATAGGAGTTTTTATTTATAGTAGGTAATCTCGAAGCTAGAAATGTATTATATACCTACATATACAAAAATTTGACTATTACCTATTACAGGCATTTGACTACTTCTAGGATAGTTTTGTAGCCAATCAGAAGCTTGTAATAATCAAAATTTGAACTATCAGGGGCTATTGATTGATTAACTCTAGAAAGATCATGTTGGAACTCAAGATCCAGTAGAAATCATAATTTGAACTTTGTTTTCCCTCAATAGAAAGGCTATTTTTTTTTTTGCAAATATACACATTTAATTCTAATTGTTTTGAGCAAGTAACAAAGCTTACATAGTACTTAATCCTAACTAATGTTAATGATAATACTCAACAACTAAAGATACTGTACACAAAGCAAAAAAGTTTCAAACAAATAAAAGCTCTATTACAATAAAAATTGCATTAAGTCAGAAAAACCCATTATTCCCTTCTTTGTATTTGTTGACCCTATCATACAACATCTTGACGGATTCAGAATTGTCTTGCGATCCCTTCAAATAATAGAGAAGCAAATCGTCCTCCCGGTGACACTCCAAAATGTCCCATTTCTGATAGAGCTTTAGGGCATTTTTAATAGGCTCCACCGCAATGCTCTCTGGATATTGTAGACTGACTCGATCCAGCTGGTTCTTCATTTCAACAAGAACATCCTCCAAAAGTTCATTTTCCAATAGTTGCCTTCCCACTAGTTTATCCAAAGTGAACCCAGTAATTGTGTATGTTTCCAATAATGGCATAAGAATGTTTGCCAAATATTTGACGCAACCTTTTGCCTCTTTATTAATTTGATAATACTTTTGAAACAATTCTTCTTGGTCTTCATCATCAAATTGCGCTGCAATTATTTTACTTCTTTTGACTAGTTGATTATCAGCTTCTTCTGGCAAAAATATTTCTCTTCTTATAGTCAAATCATCTATACAATTGGTAATGGCTTGTTCCAAATTCTGGCACGGTTTACAAAATAAAAACTCGTATTGGAATAATGAACATAGTTCCAAAGCGTTTTTAATTAATTCATCATGCGACACTTTATCTAGTGTTATTTTTGAGACACTCAACGCTAAAGCCACTACTGATTCCAAGGCGTAATGGCTCACAAGAGTGTTACTGTAATAAGCCAATTCTAATACATTTGGCAAGGCTATAACAGGTTGAATTATGTCTTTGGTTTTTTTAATCAAGCCTGGACCAAGTAGCTCAATGGAGTAGTTTATAACATCAACAGAATCTCCAGTGAAGCCAATATCCCTTCCAAAATAACTTAAATCAGTTTTTAAATCTTCCATTTCCATTCTTAATTGTTCCAGAGTGGCACCATTTCGATATTTGGTGAGTAAGAGGAAGGCCAAAGCATTTGTTGACATTACAGCAGAGGATTGTGTGCAATCATGTATTACATGCTTTGAAATATTTTCAACTAAAGGACTAGCCTTGAATAATTCTTTTAATGAAAAAGGCTGATTGAAATCAACCCTAATAATGCCATAATTGTTGTTTAAAATACTCCAAATATTGTCCGTAAGTTTTTCATAATTGACACTAACAGGTACCAAAAGGGCATCTTCAAGGGTACCATCTCTAACAGCATCCACAATAATGTTAAGCATGTTGTAGTTTGGCATTGAAGCTTTTCCAGTTGTGGTGTGTTTTTCTTCCAAAAAAAATTCAATGCTATGCCCTGCTTTCAAGCATAGAGTCACATAAGAATGCAATAATGCTTTGTAAACGTGGTCTTTATTAGGTTTTACTACAAAGCCTCCTAAATATTTTAATAGTGGTATTGTTGTTGCAACTAATGGTAATCGTATATTGTTGTTATATAGAATAAATGATATAAGGATGTTATCTAAATGTGATGTGTGTAATGGCAGGTATATTAAGGGATGGTTTGTTTTGGAGGCTTCTTTAAGCATATCTAATTGGCCTGGGTGTACTACTAGTGAATTGATGAAACATGGTAGTATTTTGTGCAAGAGCCAAGATGATAATCTTAAAAGATAATGCGACATTGTTGAAGTCATTTTTGATACAAGGCTTTTGGCTCTACATTGATGTTTTCTGATCAGTTCTTGGTGAAATGTTTCATCATTATTGTCAGAGTTTTGAAACTGTTGCCTTGCAGCTTCTTCAATGGCCTTGTTCACTTGCTGATCTTTGACAACCAATTGTTCCACCTGAGGATAATTATTGTATTGTTTAAGTTCCATTACTTGATACGAGTTGAGCATATTGACAAGAGCAAGTTGTTTGTTGGTATCCTTTACAAAACATTGTCTGCTAGTAAAAGTGCAATTTTGGCAACACAAGCCCATCAGAGGTCGGCTGGTAACGGTAACTTCAGGAGGAGTTTTTTTGATGCGAAAAAGCTGCTTTTCCAGATACTCGACTTCGGCCTCCCGTTCTTTGGCAAAGTTGAACTTGTGCTGTTTCTCGTAGCGTCTGAGCGACGAGAGCGTTTCGAGCGTGTCGTTTTGGTGAGCGGCCAACGGGGCGAAATTACGGTACGAATCGAACTGCCTCTTTTTAAAAAAATCCATCTCGCTTTAGGGAATAAACAATCGTACAACTAAAGGTTTTGTTTTACTAAGCAAAGAATCACTTACAAGTGTTATTACGGCTTTGGCACAGGGATTGGGTAAGTAAAAATATTTATTTATATATTGTTTAAAAAATTAATTAAAATTAAAAAGCAAATCAGGATCACAACAAAAAATGGATTGTTTTTGAGGTTATGTCAACATGTGTTTGCACTGTTGCCAACTAAAAAAAATAGAAATAAATTTTTAGGATCTAAAATTTTAATTTGACTTTAATTTGATATTCCAATATGTTAATTATATTAAATTTAATTGAAAAACAAGGTATTTTATACTTTTGAACAAGTTTTGAGCCCATTTTATTAAAATATTTTGTCATTTTCTTTTTACAGTTGGTACTAACTTGATTATCTTTTTGACAGTTGACAGATATCAGCTGTTTTATATTTGTAATTTTGTCAACAACAATTCAATTAATTAAACAATTATTTATTAACGAAAAAATGGAAGATGACCATGAAGAACTACTTCAATACACCGACGACGAGTCCGTCTCCGAAGCCGAAGACAACTGTTACCCCATCGACAAGCCGCAAGACCGCTATTTACTACCGATAACGTTTTTTCCGCACAGCAAGTCAGATTTCTTTTTCACCTTAGCTTTGCTTATTCTATCCAGTATTTCGCTTCTTATTGTTTTGCCCCTTTACATCAACGCTATTAATTTAGGGGGCAACGTGTACTCTCTAACGGTATTCAATGTACCTTTTTCAACTATAATTTTATCAGTTGTATTGATTACCATGTCGTTTTTGAGCAGCAAATTCAAAAACAAAGACTTGCTGAGTATGCCGGTACATTTTTGGAAGTTGTTGCAACTTTCTTGCGTTTACCTTTCGTGTGCTTACTTGTACTTGTATGGGTCTGATAGGAATAGGGTTTTGTGTCACTTACAGGACCCCATCAAAGGGATTGTATTGGTTTTTGCCCTGTTGTATTATTTCTTCTTTTGCAGAAACTGTAAGTATATATTTCTTGAGTACCTAATTTGTATAATTAATTGGTACAATTGGAGTAGCAGGAATAAATAAGTATTTGAGTTATTAAGGGCCAATTTCACAAACAGCAGTCACCCAACGATAACCAGAAGATACTGATAGTCCACAATATATCTGTTTCGTACGAGGTTTCATTTTATATTATAGGGTTGAGCTAAAAAGATTGGTCAATCATCAGATTACTCAAGTCAATCCTCATTTTGCTAACTCATGGTTACCTGAGATTGTTTGATAACTAGTGCAGATTACCACCAATTCTGAAACCGGGTCTTAGTGGAATTAAAATTTGAATTATTCTTAGCTCTTGAATTGAACAATCAAAATTTGGACTATAGGCGGCTCTTGATCTGCTGGATATTTTTCCTAAAAGAAATCAGTATCAGGCAAGGGGTAAACCACCATCCCAGAATTGGTGCAAACAATTCCTCAGAGGCGATTTTTTTTACACATAATTCCTCAAAACTCCTGCAGATTCCTCCAAACTCCTCACAAATTCCTCCAGATACCCCATCACAAATTCCTCCAAATACTCCACCACAAATTTCTCAAAATACTCCACAAATTCCTCCAAATTCCCTGCAAATTCCTCCAAATTCCCGCAAATTCTTCCAAACTCCTCTCAAATTTCCCACAAATGTCTCTTACAAATTCTCTAAAAATCCCCATAATTACTCATGATAAAAAAAATTATTTTTCTATTTTTATTCTGCTTATTTAAAATAGAAGAGCAGTTTATCAAGTAGGATCGAGTGTAGGATCCAATGCAAGGTTAAGTACATTAGTTGACTTTAGAGCTAAAACTAATGATTGGATTTCGGTAATCCCGAATGCAGGGGTTTAAACTAACCTATACCAGCAGTTGATATTATTGCCTAATTGATAAAAAAAACCTTTTTAGGAAATTAAAACAAATATAATACAGTATAATACCAAGAATAATACATGTCATGTAAATACTTTTTGAACAACTTAGGTAAGTACGATTTTTATTTTAAATGGACCTTTTTTTAAAAGTTAAACAAGTTTTCAAGACCATAAACAATAAATTTAATCTGAACCTCAGCAAATGAATGTGTATTGTGTCTAATTCCTTTTTCAATAATTTGGAAATAAGTAAACCCTTTTTTCAACGTTCGTCCTTTTTCCCATAAATATAATGCTAGGATACATACTCAGATTTGGATACAAACTTGCATCAACTTGAAGTAGCTTGAAGTTCTTTTGCACTCGGGGTCATTTTTACGGAACTTTTGTACCTCTTCTGAAATCACAATCAATGTGCTTTTAAAGTTTATTTGATCTTCTGAAACAATGTCAGAACTAACAACTAACTAATAAATTTCTAACAAATTTTCTCTGTAACTAATAAATGTTCACTTTTATTATATTTTTCAATTATCCAATTAAGTATTCAATTCAATTCAAACTTTTCCAGTAGGAAATAACAACATGAGGAATTTTAGAAATCAACCTACAATAAGTGAATTAATTGAAAATACACTCTCACAGTTCTCACATATTTAGAAGTTTTCCTGGAAAACCAGTGAAAGGAAAAATTTGAAGCTTTTTACAGGTGAAGAAGAATGTCAGAGACTGATTTTCCCAAAATTTTCAATTTTTTCCAGTGGAAAATAGCAACATGAAGATTCTTGGAAGTCAATCTACAAAAACTGAACTAATTGAAAATACAGTCTCATACGAAGGCGTAGAAGGGACATTTATAAAATTTTTATTTGTTGGTAGAGATGCATAATTAATTCTGTGTTAACTAACTAGGAATTATTCCCCTCCTATTTAATTCCGTGTTAACTAACCCGGAATTAATCCCCTCCTATTTAATTCCGTATTAACTAACTCGGAATCAATTTCCTCTTAGTTAATTTCGTGTTAAGTAACTGGGAATTAATCTGCTCTTATTTAGTTCCGTGTTAATTAACTCGGAATTAAATAAGTCGGAATTAAATAAGAGGGGCTTAATTCCCAGTTACCTAACACGAAATTAAATAAGAGCAGATTAATTTCCTGTTACTTAACACGAAATTAACTAAGAGAAAATTGATTCCGAGTTAGTTAATATGGAGTTAAATAGGAGGGGATAAATTCCAAGTAAGTTAACACGGAATTAAATAGGAGGGGAATAATTCCGAATTAGTTAACACGGAATTAATTGTGCATCACTACCAGCAAATAAAAATTTAATAAATGTCCCTTCTACGCCTTCGTAGTCTCACACATTTCAAAGTTTTCCTGGAATAGGTACTTGTGAAGGGAAAATTTTGAAATTTTTTGCATGTAAAGAGGAAGGTGAGAAGCTCATTTTCCCAAAATTTTAAATTCTTCCAGTGGAAAATAACAACATGAAAAATCTTAGAAATTCAATTTACAATAACTGAATTAATTGAAAATACACTCTCACAGTTCTCACACATTTAGAAGTTTTCCTGGAAAACCAGTGAAAGGAAAAATTTGAAATTTTGTGTATGTAAAGAGAAAGGTTAAAAGCTCATTTTCCCGTAATTGCAATTTCTTCCATTGGAAAATAGCAACATGAAGAATCTTGGAAATCAATCTACAAAAACTGAACTAAGTAATTGAAAATACAGTCTCACACATTTCAAAGTTTTCCTGGAATACTAGCGAAGGGAAAATTTTGAAATTTTTTGCATGTGAAGAGGAAGGTCAGAAGCTCATTTTCCCAAAATTTCGAATTTTTTCAGTGGAAAATAACAACATGAAGAATCTTGGAAATCAACCTCCAATAACTGAATAAATTGAAAATACAGTCTCACACAATTCAAAGTTTTCCTGGAAAACTAATGAAAGGAAAATTTTGAAACTTTTTGCATGTAAAGAGGAAGAAGAAAAGCCCATTTTCCCAAAATTTCAAATTTTTCCAGTGTAAAATAACAACATGAAAAATCTTGGAAATCAACTTACAAAAACTGTATAATAATTGTTAATACAGTCTCACACAATTCGAAATTTTCCTGGAAAACTAATTGAGGGAAAATTTTGAATTTTTTTGCATGTGAAGAAGAATGTCAGAAACTGATTTTCCCAAAATTTTAAATTTTTCCAGTGGAAAATAACAACATGAAGAATCTTGAAAATCAACCTTTGATAACTGAATTAATTGAAAATACAGTATCACACATTTCAAAGTTTTCCCAGAAAACTAGTGAAAGCAAAAATTTAAAACTTTTTGCATGTGAAGAGGAGGAAGGTTAAACGTTTATTTTTCCAAAATGTCTAATTTTTCCAGTAGAAAATAACATGAGGAATATTGGAAATCAACCTACAATAACTGAATTAATTGAAAATACAGTCTTACACATTTCAAAGTTTTCCTGGAATACTAGTGAAGGGAAAATTTTGAAATTTTTTGCACGTAAAGAGCAAGGTGAGAAGCTCATTTTCCCATAATTATAAATTTTTCCAGTGGAAAATAACAACATGAAAAATCTTAAAAATTCAACTTACAATAACTGAATTAATTGAAAATACACACTCACAGTTCTCACACATTTAGAAGTTTTCCTGGAAAACCAGTGAAAGGAAAAATTTGAAACTTTTTGTATGTGAAGAGGAAGGTTAAAAGCTCATTTTCCCGTAATTTCAATTTTTTCCAATGGAAAATAGCAACATGAAGAATCTTGGAAATCAACCTACAATAATTGAAAATACAGTCTCACACATTTCAAAGTTTTCCTGGAATACTAATACTAGTGAAAGGAAAATTTTGAAATTTTTTGCATTGAAGAGGAAAGTCAGAAGCTCATTTTCCCAAAATTTCAAATTTTTAGTTTTCCCGGGAAACTAGTGAACGGAAAAATTTGAAACTTTTTACAAATGAAGAGGAAGGTTAGAAACTCATTTTCCCAAAATTTCAAATTTTTCCAGTGGAAAATAACAACATGAAGAATCTTGGACATCAGCCTATAAAAACTGAACTCATTATTGTTTTGAATTTTTTAAATTTGGACCTGTACTTAAATCATTAAGTGAAATTTTGGGAGAATTTCTTTAATGAAAATGAATGTACAACGTTCAACACAAAACTAGATTTTTTGAAAATTTTCGTTTATTAGTGTTTCTTATAATAAGAATGCGAACCTCAGTGACCTCATGACTCTACAATTTCTTTTAAATTCCTCACAAATTCCTCCAAATTCCCCATAAGTTTCTCCGAATTCCCTATAATTTTCCTAAATTCTCATAAATTTCAATGAGTTGCTTCAAATTCCCCACAAATTCTTTTAAATTCCCCACATTTTTGGAAAAGAATTCCTAGGTGGTTTGCCCCTTGGTATCAGATTAATAATAAAAAATTTGATCAGTAGTCCAGAGTGAAAAAACCGAGAAAAATACTTTGTATTTCGTGCAAAATTTCTATAATTAATATCAGTGCAGAAATTTTGCACGAAATACAAAGTCTTTTTACTCTTTAATTCAGCAAAATAAAGCGATGCGCATTATCCTCAATTGTAATAAATATACAATAGCGAACATGTTGCAGGCATTAAACTGGTTGTCTGTCGGTCAGGGCATCAGAAGGGCGAACTTGGTTTTAATATATTTATAAAATAGAGCATGAACAGTTACCGAAATATCTTAATGATTTTCTAAAAAAAAAAGATCAAACTTTCATGAATATAATATTCGTTCAAGGCAGGACTATAACATATTGTTGGTTAGAACGGCAACTTTACAAAAATCATTATTTTATGAAGGTGTTCGCATGTTCAATGCTCTTCCCGAAAGAATGCACCAAGTTTGAGAGTTTTCAATGCAGAAATTGATACATTTCTGAGGGGCACATAGTAAGTAAGTGAGTAGTAATAGTAGTATTTATTTTTGTAACTCACAATACCTTTTGTAAATACTTGTATTGCAATAACTAGCCAAGTGCGAAATAAAGATCTATTTATTTATTTATTTAATTTCCTCAACGGGCACTCAGCCTTATACTACAATTACTACAAAAATCACCTTGTAGATCAAGACTCGAAAGCCAATAAAAATCACAATTTGAACTATTCTGGGCACTTGAATTGCTTTCTAGAAATTTCTCAATGAGTTCAAGGGCCGGTAATAATGAAAATTGGCCTATAAGCGGCTGTTGATTTACTGGATAATTTTTCTAAAAGCAATCAGTATTTGTTAATAATCAAAATTATAATCAGTAGCTCAAATGTTGCTGATAAGTTACTCAAGTGAATCAAGATTCTGTGATAAACTACATTTGGACCAATAAGTATGTGATGATTGCCACTAGAAAATTGCCTTGTAGATCAAGAGCCACTAATAATCATCATTTGAACTATTCTTGGCTCTAAAATTGCTTTCTAGAAATTTCGCAATGACTTCAAGAGCCAGTAACAATCAAAATTTGGACTATAAGCGCCTATTGATTCGCTGGATAATTTTTCTGAAAGGAATCGATCAAAATTATGATCAGTTGTTCAAATCTTCACGATAAATTACTCAGGTTGTTGTAATCGTTTATTTAACTACTATAACAACTAATTATAGCTAATTTACAGCTTGGAGTTACATATAAGTCATCTTAACAACATTATCCATTCTTTTTCAGCCCTTTGCTATCATTCAATAACTGGTTAGATTCAATTAATCTCCTAATAAATAATGATTTTGTTGCTTGTACAGACCGAACCCTGGGGATATCAAAATTATCTTTTGATCTCAAATTTCTTTCATGCCTTTGCGAAATGTAGTTTATCTTTTTCTCGATCTTTTTGTTCAAATATGATGGCAGCAGTCCCACTTTAATTTTGAAAATAAACACCATTGTGTTGTACAAAATAAGGTGCTTTACTGAGAACCATTCCAATGTGCTTTTCATTTAACGAATAGGTGTTCTTTTTGGACAAGATAGTATCATCCGCATTGGCTTATTTTGTAGCTTTTGCAATTTTTCAATCTCATTTTTCTGGAAGAAAAACAAAACTGTGGAACAGTAAGTACCTATAAAGTGGTAACATCAATAAATTGAATAGTAAAATTTTTGACCACCGAGTCAAAGAAAAGGCACATCTATACAAGAACAGGAGCTTGAAAGAAATAGTTTTTTAAAACATAATCAGCATGACATTTAAATTTTAAGTTTTCATCAATCAAGACCCTCTAGATATTTAAACTGTTCCACAATTTCTAGCTTATTGTTGTCAATTTTTATTTCAATGCCCTTGCTTACAAACTCCCTATAATACCTGTCTGATCCCAGTATCATATATTTTGTTTTTTTAATATTGATTTTCAAGGAGTTTGCACAACACCACCTATATATGCTATCCAGGTTTCCATTAATGACATTTCCCATGCTTTCTACATCTGAAGATGAAAAATAACATACCTACTACATCATCAACAAATAAATGGATCTAAATTCCCTCAACAAATTCAGCAATGTCATTAATATAGACCAGAAACAACAATGGTGCTAAAACATTTCCTTGTTGAATATTTATTTCGATCTCTATTAGTTCTGATTCAACCTGATTAACCCTGACTTTCTGCCCTCTTCCAGGTAGATTACTTTGAAGCAATTTCAGTGCCCCAACCTCAATGCCTACCTTTTTCAGCTTTAAAAGCAGCTTCCTTCTATCCACTGTCTCGAAAGCCCTCTGCAAATCTAGAAAAACAGCGCTTCCAATCATCCAATTCACATTGTATAGCGGATTCGCAGTTATGGTTTGCTCTAAACCCTGACTGATATTGAGCTAAACTACTATTTTCCTCTAAATAATCTACAAGCTGCTCATACAAGACTTTCTCAAGAACTTTTGTTACAGAGCTGATCATTAACAGGTCTAAATTCTGCTGCTGTCTGTGCATTGGACGTTTTTGGGATAATTGTTGAGATTTTAAGTTGTGTTGGTACTTTGCGCTACACATAGATGAATTAATTATGTGCAGTAGTGGCCCCTTCAAATTTTTAATACAGTTCATTAACAAAGAGATACTTAGCTCATCTGGGCTATCTTTATCAGCCATTTCAAAGATACATTTTTTAGGTTGATCATAGTCTATCAATTTGAACTCCTTTAGTGGCGATATATTTCCCTGCTATTTATCTGTGACCCTTTCCAGTGGTATAGACTTATCTATGTTCTCAGAGATTGCTCCTATACTCTGCACAAAAAAATTGTTCAAAGAGTTAGGAATTTCTAGTGGATCACTTATTATTTTGTTGTAGTTTTTAAAGTTAAAACGGAATATCTGCACAATACTGCCAATATGCTATGTCCCTGTTTTCTGTAGCATTTTTAACATTTTCGCCCCACCACTTGTTGTATTTACTAAAAATTTTAACTCTCTTTAAAGCGAGCTTTAAAGGTGCCACTTCATTTTAGATTTTGTAAACTTCATTATACATTCATTATCCAAATTTATGAAATGGAATTTCCAAGTTACTTCACCTAGCTTTCTATTAATTTCTCCATAGTTTAAGTATGTTCTTTCCTCTTGTTATTTATTTATTTATTTATTTATTTAGGATTTTGGGGCACAAACACGCAAAGTCCAAAAACAGTGTCTCGATATTCCAGAATACAGTATACAAAAAAATGGATACATAAATATAAGTTCTGTAAGAGTAATATCTAACTAAGTATCCGAATCATTTAGAATAAGCTTGGTATTATTATTCACTATCAAGGCAGGCACACATAAGTATCACAATAACAATACATAAAAGTTCATCCTAAAAATTTAAATTTAAGATTTTTTTAAAATGTTAACAACTTAGTTGCATATAATATGTCCAAATCACCATCAGTACAGTGTATATTTCAATGTATATTTACAGCCTTTAGTATTCTGACAAGGGGTGCGTTTTGATAATAACCTTAATAATTAATTCTACAATATGGAATATAAACGTTACTATCTTCTATGCTGACCGAGGCAATCTCTGATTTAAAATGACAACTTTTATGTAGTTATAGTTTCCGACTTTTGGACCTTCGCCTCAAAGCAATCCACATTTGTCAGCATTAAGTCAGCGATCATGTGTTAGTGTTAAATGCGTGGGACTGCTGACAATATTTTTCAAACCAAAGTCTACCGAAATATTTGCTAATCTATCACTATATCTTTATCCTATGTTTCAGTAGACCAGTCATTATTAAAAAATCGCCTACAATCAAAACGCTCTTCTCTAAACTAACATCTTCCAACCATTGCTCAAACATATCCAAAAACATTCCATCTATGAAAAAAGGCACTCAGTAAAATTGTAAAATTGATAAATCACCCCAAATTGCTTAACACGATTTTATCTCAGGAACTATAAGTGCAAATGAGCTGAAATTCTCAGTAATTGTAGTCCCTTTATTGAGATAAGATTCAGTGAAAATTTCAGCTTTCTATCTATAATAGAAAAAAAGTTATGCCCTTCCAAAGTTTTCCAAAATCTAAATCATAAGGTAACCTTCTTACTAAAACGATGAAATTCCATTTTTTTTTTGTCGAGATTTTGTCTCCTAATGGTCAATTAACGTACCCCAAACTCCATACACTAAATTATTTTCAGATTTGAAGCCGAAATCTATGAAAAAAGTCACTCAGAAAAATTGGAAAATTGATAAATCACCCCAAATTGCTTAACACGATTTTATCTCAGGAACTATAAGTGCAAATGAGCTGAAATTCTCAGTAATTGTAGTCCCCTTATTGAGACAAGATTCAGTGAAAATTTCAGCTTTCTATCTATAATAGAAAAAAAGTTATGCCCTTCCAAAGTCTAAATCATAAAGTGGCTACCTTATTACTAAAACGATGAAATTTCAAATTCTTTTTTTGTTGAGATTTTGTCCTCCAATGGTCAATCAACATCCCCCAAACTCCATATACTAAATTATTCTCAGATTTGAAGCCGAAATCTATGACAAAAGGCACTCAGAAAAATTGAAAAATTGATAAATCACTCCAAATTGTTTAACACGATTTTATCTCAGGAACTATAAGTGCAAATGAGCTGAAATTTTCAGGAATTCTAGTCCTCTACTAGAATAAGAATCGCTGAAAATTAACGGTCAATTAACGGTTTTCAAAAATCAACATTTCCTTTTATAAGAGTAAATATGACATTCCTCCACATTTTGAATATTTACTTAAAAACTACTTGAGGCGTAAATATGAGATACTATTTTTTTGTTCTTTACTACCGCTACTCCAATTATTGTACATGTTAAACTTGGGACGCTAACTAGATACACAAGAATTAAATTACAATATTTTTATTATAGTAATGGGCCTGCATCGTATATTTTCAACTACAACAGTAATAGTAGGACTATTCATAGCAGTAGATTACGGTTTATGTGATGAATTCGTGTGCAGAGGCTTTGACAGGATAAAACTTGCAGACGATGCCGGTCCTTGGTCATGGAGAACTCACAGTATATGGACAGCTTTATATATTCTCAGCTTGATTTTGTTTGCTGCTCTTTTCACTTTACTAGACAGACATCTTGCTCCTGAATATGAAGTGGTAAGTAAACCAAATAATTTAAAAAAACAGATAATTTCAATAATCTACTTTATTTTAGATGCCTACAAATATAATATCTCCATCTTTTTTGAATACAATATCGAGACAAATAACAGCTAGTACGTCCAATGAAGAGCCTGAATGTCAGGATAATGAGCCTTTTAATGAAGCCCCGATGCAAAAATCTGCGGTGCATTTTGCCTTTTGGCTACACATTTTCGTTTGGGTTTTGATTATGTTCACTTTTTGGATTGATTTTATACCAGGAATTGGAAAAGTAATATTATGATTCAATTGATTTATTTTTAATAATTGAAAAATTTATTTTAGGGTGATACAATTTCTGAGTCCTTAAACTACACAATACAAGGTATAATGTGTCATTTTTCTCACGGTTTGGACAACAATAGCGTTTGTAAAAATGTCCTCTGGTATTCTTTGGCCTTTCAACTATCTTATGTTACTTTTGTGATATCGGCACTTAAGTTTCTGATGTTATCACAATCGGCGGTTTTTACTATTGCCTCCACGTCATTTGCTTTGCCAGTTATTGGATTATGGTGGACTTTGTTTTATGCTTCACCTTCTGGTAAGTTAAGAAAGTTACTTTTGGTTGCTGCATACTGATGATGATCAAAGAAATAACTTTTTCAGTTGATTTAGAAAGGATTTTCATGGCCGATTCCACTAACTAATTTAGAAAAGCCATAACGATAAGTATTCCTTAAACTGACATTTCTCCATAGAAGACTGTCATTTTAAGGAATACTTATCGTTAAGGCTCCTTTAAAATAGTTGATCGAAGCGGCCATTAGAGGCCTAAAGGATTTTTAGAAATTTTAACAGATTTTTGGAGATTCCAAAGGATTTTTGGAAATATCAAAGGAATTCTGTTTTAGGAATACATATTGATGATTTTATAAGATTTTGCCGGATTTTTTTTTAGAGATTCTAAATTATTTAAATGACAAATTTGAATGGATTAACGTAAATTCCTAGAAGTTTTACTATCAGATTTCATAATACTTTTCCGAATTTCATCATATGATTCTATGGAATTCCACCATAAAATTTAATGGAATTCTTGGACAAACATTCCTCGGAATTACACAATTCTTCGGGATTTCACTAAAATTTCAAGTTATTCCATAGGAATTCGGCGAAAATTTTAGGTAATTACATAGAAATTCCTCAACATTTCACCACTTTTTCCAGAAGATTTTATGGAATTCTTAGACAAATATTTTTCGTAATTACAGTATAGAATCTCATGAAATTCCTCGAAATTTTACTGAAATTCTCCAAAATTTCACCACTGAAATATCCTGGAATTTCCCAAAATGTTCATAAAATTCTTCAGAATTTCATTGACATTTCATGTAATTTCTTAAAAATTCCTGGGAATTCACTATAATTTTATGAGAATATTTTGAAATTCCACATTATTAGTCGAAAAATCCAATGAATATTAATGAAACTTCAAGTAATTTCTTGAAAATTCACCGAAATATATTGAAATTTCATGTCATTACTATGGAAATTTTTCGGAATTTCATCGAAATTCCATGTTTTTAGCCGGAAATTCCTCGGCATTCCACTTGTGGAATTTTCTGGAATTTCATTAAAATTCAGTAAGAACTGAAATTTCATGTTGGAAATTTTGGTGTAATTTCATATACATAATTGTTTAGAATTCTTCCATGCAATTCATTTAGAATTTCGTGTAATTCGATCGGAATTTCACATGTAATTTTAGAGGAACTGAAATTTAATATCAGTTCTATGAAAACTCTACAAAAATTTCCAATATAATTCCTTTCTAAGAATAACATAATTCTACCGAAATTCCACTAAATTATGGAATTCTTAGAGACTTTAACAGATTTTTGGGAATTTGAAAGGAATTATTTTTTAGGAATGTTAATGATTTTATGAGATTTTCCAGGATTTTTTTAATTAGCAATATTGTCCCTATGAAATAATTGGGATCCTGTATACTTCCACAATATAATATATTGTTGTTGTTGCTATTGAAAACCCATCATAACCCAAAATTTTTATTTTGTATCACATAACTACATGACAAAAATTGTCTAATTTGATTGGCTACTGAACATACGACGAACGGTGGAGTATAAATCAGGCTTTAGAGTTTATTTACCGATTTACTTACGAATACCAAAGTTTATTTACAAAACTGCCAAAACGATTGGCATCGTGAATGTTCGGGTGCGCTCGTAACGTTACATATACGCTAATAATTCCCTGATATTTCCTAATAAAACCTCGATATTTCCTGATAATATCTCAATATTTCCTAATAATACCTTGATATTTTCTAATGATACCTCAATATTACTTGATAATACCCTGTTATTTCCTAATAATATCTTGATATTTCTTCATAATACCTTATATTTCCCGATATTGTTATGTATTTCCTTATATTTCCTTTTTCTACCTAATTTTTTTTATGTATATCCCCGTATTGTCACATATTTCCCCAGGTTAATGACAATAATTCCTAGGTAATGGTTTACCCCCTGTTTCAAAGTTTTCCTGGAAAACTAGTGAAGGCAAAAATTTGAAACTTTTTGCATGTGAAGAGGAAGGTGAGAAGCTCGTTTTCCAAAAATTTCAAATTTTTCCAGTGAAAAATAATAACATGAAGAATCTTGGAAATCAACCTTCAATCTCCAATAACTGAATTAATTGAAAATACAGTCTCACACATTTCAAAGTTTTCCTGGAAAACTAGCGAAGGGAAAATTTTGAAACTTTTTGCATGTGAAGAGGAAGGTTAGAGGCTCATTTCCCCAAAATTTCAATTTTTTCCAGTAGAAAATAACAACATGAGGAATCTTAGAAATCAACCTATAATAACTGAATTAATTGAAAATACAGTCTCACACATTTCAAAGTTTTCCTGGAAAACTAGTGAAGGCAAAACTTTGAAACTTTTTGCATGTAAAGAGGAAGGTTAGAGACGCATTTTCCCAAAATTTCAAATTTTTCTAGTAGAAAATAACAACATGAAGAATCTTGGAAATCAACTTCCAATAACTGAATTAATTGAAAATACAGACTCACACATTTCAAAGTATTCCTAGAAAACTAGTAAAGAGAAAATTTTGAAACTTTTTGCATGTAAAGAGGAAGAGGAAAAGCTCATTTTCCCAAAATTTCAAATTTTTCCAGTGGAAAATAACAACATGAAAAATCATAGAAATCAACTTACAAAAATTGAAATAATTGTTAATACAGTCTTACACAATTCAAAGTTTTCCTGGAAAACTAATTGAGGGAAAGTTTTGAAACTTTTCGCATGTAACGAGGGAGGTGAAAAGCTCATTTTCAAAAAAAATTAAAATTTTTCCAGTGGAAAACAGCAACATGAAGAATCTTGGCAATCAACCTACAAAAACTGAATTAGTTGAAAATACAGTCTCACGCATTTCAAAGTTTTCCTAGAAAACTAGTGGAGGGAAAATTTTGAAATTTTTTGCATGTAAAACAGAAAGTGAGAAGCTCATTTTCCCAAAATTTTAAATTTTTTCAGTGGAAAATAACAACATGTAGAATCTTGGAAATCAACCTACAATAACTGAATTAATTAAAAATACTGTTTCACACAATTCAGAGTTTTCTTAGAAAACTAGTGAAGGAAAAATTTTGAAACTTTTTGCATGTAAAGAGGAAGGGGAGAAGCTCATTTTCCCAAAATTTCAAATTTTTCTAGTGGAAAATAACAATATGAAATATCTTGGAAATCAAGTTACAAAAACTGACATAATTATTAATGCAGTTTCACACAATTCAGAATTTTCCTAGAAAATTAATTAAGGGAAAATTTTGAAACTTTTTGCATGTGAAGAGGAATGTCAGAGACTGGTTTTCTCAAAATTTCAAATTTTTCCAGTGGAAAATAAAATCAACCTCCAATTACTGAGTTAATTGAAAATACAGTCTCACTTATTTCAAAGTTTTCCTAGAAAACTAGTGAAAGCAAAAATTTGAAACTTTTTGCATGTGAAGAGTAGAAAGGTAAAGGTTCATTTTCCCAAAATTTCAAATTTTCCCAGTAGAAAATAACAACATGAGGAATATTGGAAATTAATCTACAATAATGAGAAGCTCATTTCCCAAAAATTTTAAATTTTTCCAGTGGAAAATAACAATATGAAGAATCTTAGAAATCATCCTCCAATAACTGAATTAATTGAAAATAGTCTCACACATTTCAAAGCAAGGGGTAAACCACCATTAAGATTTTTGACAAATATTTTCTTTTGGGGGAGTCATTTCTCGAATATTGCCTTTATTTCCTATATATTTTCCAGTAATTTTCGATATTGCCTCATAATTCCCCATAATGTCTTCTAATTATCTAATATTTCCGGTGACTCCCTAATATGTAACATAATTCCTCCGTAATTTCTGATAATTCCCCTTTATTATTGTTACGAAAATGCATCGAAAACCCGGCGAGAATTCTGAAAAAATTACTTGTTCACGTCGAAACACGCGTTTTTCTATTCGATTTGAGAGCTATTTAATAGGGGAACAAGCAGTGAACTTTTATTGAAATTAAAAGTGACTTTGTTACCAAATTTGACATCTTGAAACAAGCTCACAAATGGATTTTCTGGAAAATTGTATAAAATTCTCTTGAATTGTTTTTGGAAACTGTAAGTTATACAAGATTCGTGACTTTATTAGTGGCGACATCGAAAAACTAGCTCACAAGCGGATTCTCGCGAGGATTTTCTTGAAAATTCTAAAAACTCCTATGGAATTTTATTTGGAATCCATAAGTGATATAAGAATAGTGAGTTTATTGCTGGCTTCAACATCTAAAACAAGCTCAAGAGCAGATTTTTTGGAAAATTCTAGGAACTCCCATAGAATTCTATTTAGAAACTGTGAAGTTTTCCTTGAAAACTAGTGAAAGGAAAAATTTGAAACTTCGTGCATGTGAAGAGTAGAAAGGTTGAAGGCTCATTTTCCAAAAATTTCAAATTTTTCCAGTAGAAAATAACAACATGAGGAATCTTGGAAATCATCCTATAATAACTGAATTAATTGAAAATACAGTCTCACACATTTCAAAGTTATCCTAGAAAACTAGTGAAGGGAAAATTTTGAAACTTTTTGCATGTAAAGGGGAAGGGGAAAAGCTCATTTTCCCAAAATTTCAAATTTTACAGTGGAAAATAACAACATGAAGAATCTTGGAATTCAACCTACAATAACTGAGTTAATTAACAATACAGTGTCACACATTTCAAAGTTTTCCTGGAAAACTAGTGAAGGCAAAAAATTGAAATTTTTTGCATGTGAAGAGGTAGGTGAGAAGCTCATTTTCCAAAAATTTGAAATTTTTTCAGTGGAAAATAACAACATGAAGAATTTTTGAAATCAACTTACAAAAACTGAATTAGTTGAAAATACCGTCTCGCATATTTCGAAGTTTTCCTGGAAAACTAGTGAAAGGAAAAATTTGAAACTTTGTGCATGTGAAGAGTAGAAAGGTTAAAGGTTCATTTTCCCAAAATTTCAAATTTTTCCAGCAGAAAATAACAACATGAGGAATATTGGAAATCAACCTACAATAACTGAATTAATTGAAAATACATTCTCACATACACATTTCGAAGTTTTCCTGGAAAACTAGTGAACGGAAAAATTTGAAATTTTTTACATGTGTAGAGGAAGGTTAGAAGCTCATTTTCTCAAAATTTCAAATTTTTCCAATGGAAAATAACAACATGAAGAATTTTTGAAATTTGGACCTGTAAATAAATCAGAAGTGTAATGTTGGAAGAATATCTTTAATGAAAATGAATGTCTAACGTTCAACACAAAACTAGATTTTTTTAAAATTTCCATTTATTAGTGTTTTTTATAATAAGAATGTGAATCTCAGTGACGTCATGACTCTACAATTTCCTTTAAATTCCTCACAAATTCCTCCAAATTCCCCATAAATTTCTCCGAAGTTCCTATAAAATAAATAAATTCCGATGAGTCCCTTCAAATTCCCTAAAAATTCCTCTAAATTGCCCCCATTTTTGGCAAAGAATTCAAAAGAATCTTTAACAAAATAATCATTATTTATGTTATAAGATTTCTTTAAAATGTCACACATTAAATTAGTTATTTTGGTGTAGATGCATTCATTGATGAAATTATAGGTTTAAGAACTGATATTGGTTTATGAATTTTTGGTAGACCATAGAATTTTGGACATATAGAACTGTGTGATTTAAGATTTTTTCCTTGTATTTCATTAATCATGATAATTTCTTAACCGATATCCTGTTATTATTTTTTTAAAAAAATTCAAACTTTACTTTTCAGGTGCTCTAGTTTGGTCCCCGAAAATCCGTGGCGAATTCGTTTGCTCCGTAATCGGTTTGCCCATTGTCTCTATTGGATTGGGGCTCCTCTGTAAGGCCCATTTTGAAGATGTACGCAGACCGAGGAGCGTTTTATGGAGACATCAAGATGCATAAATCAAATTCGTATTTATTTACTTGTGAGTATTTTTATAGTGTATTATATTGATACTATTTTGTATAACCAAGGCTGAGCTGGTTTTTAAATACCGTCAAACAATAGTATAATGAAATACCTACCTCAGTATATATTGTTGTTAAATCAAATCAAAACTTATACACCAGCTCTTCTTAATGGTCATATTGCTGTTAGTAATTATTGTGATATTTAGCTTGTTCCTTTAAAATTCATAAGGAATTTTATGTAATATTATACTGTGCTCCTAGCTTATAGGATAATATAAACAATGCATTGTTGCTTTCGATATAATATTTTTAACAAAATAGAAACCAGGACATTTTGAGTTTCCTATGCACGTTTATTGTTAAATAATTAACTGTTGCCAAAAATTGTGATAATTCAGATGCCATCGGTCAGAGGAAGAAAACCTATATACATGTTTTGTAATATGAAGAATGTTATTTTTGTTTTTGTTTACTAACAAGACTGATTTATGAGTAGATTTTCTTTGAACTTACAATTTGTCATTTGTGTTTTGTCCGTCCGGCTTTTTTTGATTAAACCATGCAAAAAAAAAACTCATGTTGTTACTTATTATAAGGTATTATTGTTATGTAGTGTTTGTATTAGAAAAATATTCTTATTATATAATATAGTTTTTGTCTTATAGTTAAAAACCAATTTTTGATTTATTGAAAGTGAAATAATAACCAAATTAGCACTGATAAAAGAAAATTACAATTACTAAGGTCTGGGTAGTTTGCAGGACAAATATTGGTTTGTTCTTTTTTTAATATCAAAAATCTATTATTATTTGAAACCAACAATTATGAGAGAAACAAAACGAATTTTTTTAACTTAAAAATATACTGATATTACTTATTATAAATGAAGATTTTTCCCTTAATTTAAGGGTCAGTTGCTGTTTGGGTTTTTTGTGTAATCAAAAATATAATAGACAATATATTGCAAAATTACATGGTATATTTTAACCAATTTTCTATACTTAACCGAATGTAATTTCGTTTTGACTTATGAACTGTTACTAATATTTATAAAGTATATTAGAAATATATGATGATTTGTGTCTTAAATGTTTAAATTATTTTTTATTGCGTTTTTATCCTTAGGTTAGATTAGTCAACCTATTAGGACCCTCCCCTGAGACTCTTTGCTCTATTGTGGCTCATTATCAAAAACTCGTTGGAATTTTAGAAACTTCATGTATGTAGGAGTTTCAATGCAGGTAACTGAGTGTGGAACCAAAAAAAATAAAAACTCAATTTGAAGCAAATTTTTTCATATGTTCAATATGTGCCGTAAGGACCCTGAAACCCTACCGATTTTGAAATTTTCAGGAATTGTAGTCCTCTACTGGGATAAGAATCGCTGAAAATTTCAGTTTTTTATCTTTAATGGAAAAAAAGTTATGATCTTTCAAAGTTTTCCAAAATCTAAATCATGAGGCTGCCTTCTTACTAAAACGATGAAATTTCAAATTTTTTTTTTGTTGAGATTTTGTGGCCTAATGGTCATTTTGTATCCCCCAAACTTCATACACTAAATTAAATTATTCTCAAATTTGGAGCTGAAATCTATGAAAAAAGGCATTCAGAAAAATTGAAAAATGGATAAATCACCCCAAATTGCTTAACACGGTTTTATCTCAGAAACTATAAGTCTAATTGAGTTGAAATTTTCAGGGATTGTGGTCCTCTATTACAATAAGAATCGCTGAAAATTTCAGCTTTCTATCCTTGATAAAAAAAAAGTTATGGCCTTCCAAAGTTTTCCAAAATCTACATCATAGGGTAGGTACCTACCTTCTTACTAAAACGATGAAATTTCAATTTTTTTTTTATGGAGATTTTGTGTCCTAATGATCATTTGTAATCCCCCAAACTCCACACACTAAATTATTCTCAGATTTGAAGCTGAAATCTATGAAAAAAGGCACTCAGAAAAATTGAAAAATTGATATAACACCCCAAATCGGTTAACACGATTTTATCTCAGGAACTATAGGTCCAAATGAGTTGAAATTCAGGAATGGTGGTCTTCTATTACAATAAGAATCGCTGAAAATTTCAGCTTTCTATCTTTAATAGAAAAAAAGTTATGACCTTCCAAAGTTTTCCAAAATCTACATCATAGGGTAGGTACCTACCTTCTTACTAAAACGATGAAATTTCAAATTTTTTTTTGTGGAGATTTTGTGTCCTAATGGACATTTGTAATTCCCCAAACTCCATACACTGAATTATTCTCAGATTTGGAGCTGAAATCTATGAAAAAAGGCACTCAGAAAAATTGAAAAATTGATAAATCACCCCAAATTGCTTAACACGATTTTATCTCAGGAAGATCTGTATAACGAACACTCAGATAATCAAATTGAAATTCTTGTTGGTGATATAAACATTAACTTAGCTGCTGAGCATGACAATGAGGTAAATAACTACATAACAATGTTGGGTCACTTTGGTTTTCTGTCGGCTATTAATAACCCAACAAGAGTAACAGCTGAAACCAGCTCCATCTTAGACCACTTGTTTATCAGAAAAAATCAAAGAACTAACCTAAAGTATAGTTCCTTTGTCTTACATTCTGCGCTTACAGACCATTATCCTATAATGCTAAACATAGATCAAGAACAAGGCACACAGCTGGGTAAAGTGAACGAACCCAATTCACTGGAAACCTTCAGACTTGATTATACAGTTTTCAATAATTTGATAAAAAATGTAAATTCGCAATGTGTTTTAGAATCCCAGGATGTGGAACAGGCCATACAAAGATTTTCAGAACTAATATCCGAAATTCTAAATAACTCTAAAATTAAAAGAACTTATAAAATTAAAGAGCACAAAAAAATAAAACCTTGGATAACTAATGGAATCATAAATTCCATTAAAACTAAGGATAAATTGAAAAAAAAACTTTTATTACACAATAATGAAAATAATAGACAAAAATTCACACAGCACAGAAATTTTCTCAACAAAATCATACGGAAGCGCAAACACGACTATTACAAAAAGGAAATCGAAAATAGTGGAAATAATCTGAAGAAGATATACAATGTTATATCCCAAGCTACAAGTGACATTAAATCAAAGGGGAATCCGAACTTGGGAATTGCTAATAACAACGTTAAATTTAATAACTATAAAGACACCGCAAATTTCTGTAACAATCATTTCATAAATGTAGGTCTCGAAATGTCTAAGAAAATTAAAAAGCCTTTAAATGTTACCAAAATTAATTTTACATCGCATTCATCAATGTTTTTAAGGCCAACTAATACAAATGAAATCATAAAACAAATTAATGTGTTAAAACAGGTCTTAATATTTGTAAGGAAGACGAGAAAGGTCTCTTTCTAACTCATTGTTTCTTATGACAAAAACCAAAATATTTTTTTTTTCTGGAAAACTGTCAGAGATAAACCTATCGAAATTTGTATCATTGAAATCAGCAAAAGCAGAGCTTTCTAAAGAGCTATTAATATATAGGTTGTCCCATTGAAAAAAATCGGATTTTGGTCAATATTTTGAAGCCAAGGCCCAAACTGAAAACGTCACTGAATTCTGCTTAAAAAAGTGCTTCTAGAAAGTTTTTACGGAAATCAGTTATTTTCATAAACAAAAAAGTTAATGAAGATTTCACAGTATTGCTCAAAATCGAAAATCGCCCTCTAGCGGCTAAACGGTTGAAGATATCAAAATGCGGTTTGCACCAATCAAAATTTCAAGAAACTTGAGCCTCGGAGTGGGGGGTTCATTTTATTGTATCTTGCTCAGAAATTGATGTTTCCCATTAAAACCACCAAATTCGGACACCCTGTACATATAGTAAATTTGATTTTTCAAACTGGTAAAGTTCCAGAAAGTTTCAAAACCGCAGTAGTTATCCCAATACATAAATCTGGGGATAAATCAAATATAAATAACTTTCGTCCTATCAGCCTTATCAATACGTTTGCTAAAATCTTTGAAAAATGCCTTAAAGATCGTTTGGTTAGTTTTCTTGAACAGGGTAAAATCATATCACCAAATCAGTTTGGTTTTATGCATGGTTTGAGCACCACAGATGCCATCTATGAACTGTCTAACTGCATAAATGAGAATCTTGACAAGGGACACAAATGCCTCGCTGTTTTCCTGGACCTTGCGAAGGCATTCGACACGGTGCCCCACCATTCACTCCTTAGCGTTCTCGATTGTTATGGAGTTAGGGGTAGTGTGTTGGATGTCTTTGCGAGTTACTTGGCGAACAGAACACAGGTTGTGAAAATTGGAGACTCTTACAACGACCCTTTAAATATCCAAATTGGAGTTCCGCAAGGTACTGTTTTAGGACCTATTCTGTTCATCCTGTACATAAACTCCTTGACAAATATGGAAGTGGGTAATGGAACAGTAATGTCCTATGCTGATGATACTGTGGTGGTGTTTACAGGGACTTCTTGGTCTTCTGTTAAGAATTCTACAATTGAAGGAATGAGAAAAATAAAGAACTGGCTTGATTCATTCCAATTAACTCTAAATGTTTTCAAAACAAAATATATTGCCTTTTCCATTACTAATGTGCGCAGACCGGAGTATCACAGCATTAGGGTCGATCATTTTGATAGTGATATACTTGAGGTTGATTATATAAAGTACTTGGGAATCACAGTGGATAGGAACCTTAATAAGTGGGATCAGCAAGGGCGTACCCAGCAAGGGGCAGGGTTTTTTTTTTTTATAAATTATAAAAAGGCTCCGCTAAGTGCAGAAAATAAAAAAATCAAAATAAACCACTATGGTTTTACTAAAAAAATTACAAACCCGAAAAATATACTACTAAATACTACTAAAATATATTCATATACCTACGTAAGTCAAACGCAGCGCACTGCACAGCCTACTAGATTTGCAATTAGCGGAATTAGCAAAGAAATATGAATTTTCTATTACGATCCTGGCCCCTGCGAATTTGTTGTATTGTGTTGTTTTTCTAACGGAATTCGATTATTTTCATTTGTTATTCAATGTTAATTTGTTTGTGCAAGTACTGCAAGTAAACTTAATTTACTTAGTTGTTGATAAACGTCTATGCTATGTTGTTAGCAGTTACGTTACACTTGTAAACATTGTCAGAAATTTATATTAGATTGTACTGTAACGAAAATTACCCTGAGTCCGCCTCTGACTCTTCCCGGCCGCGTGGAGAATTCTCGAGACGCAGCGCGAAGCTTCGTACGTGCTGCGGAGAGAATCTTCGAGAAGCAGGCGCTTCGGATATAAAAGGAACAATGTCGAGCGGCGAGGGCAGATTTCGCCAGTGCCGGGTTGAAGAATAGAATACTTTTATAAATAAATACAAGATACAAGGCGTTACATAAACTAGTTAGTGTGTTTAGTTAAATTAATCACGAGTGAATTTTAGTTAAGTGTTAATAAAAGTATAGTTTTAATTAATTGGCAGCTTTTATCACATCGTTGTCGAACAAGTTCACGCTAAAAACGTTACAGTACTTATTGGAAAATCTGCTGAATCTACCTATTTCGGGCATCTCGGTATCTCCACACTGATAAATGGATATCAGGAAATTTTTTCAAACAGGTAAGTTACAGTTAGTAAGTTACATTCGACGACATTTGTGTAATATCTGTAAATTCCAATTAAAAAAAACAAAATGTTTTTTTCCATGTTACATGTTAAACAAAACACTAACATGGATATCACTCACACTGTATAAAATACTAATAGCGGCATTATTGTGTTTTGCAGCTACTAAAACTCTCAAGAGGAAAAAAGAACATGACAGTAGCAGCGGGAGCGATGATAACAATGATCAAATTTCATCGCCAAGCCCATCTAAAACTGCATCTGAATCTGAGCAACCGCTAAATTCTTTGAGATCTAAGAAAGTCACTGCTCCTAATTTAGAATCTTTACCGTCAACATCTGGCTCTGTAGTCAATCCCGAAATTGAAGAGAATGATGGTTGCCACGAAAATGACTTGGGTCGTTATGTAGGACAAACATTTCACCTGACGATGGAAAGAAAAAAAGAGTTGTTAAAAAATCCGTGGGTTCCACCCAAGAATTACGATTTTGTAGCCGATGCCAGTCATTTGCGAAGAAAATTTAATTATGCTTGGTTAGATCAATACACACCATGGTTAGTGTATTCCAAGCGACTAAAGGGTGCTCTGTGTAAGCACTGTGTTTTATTTCCTCCTTCTACTGGCACAGTAAGGGGAGTGTTAGGTT